AAATGCCCAATTCTTGGGATCGACGCGTTGTTGATTGTTTCGGATCGTCTCTCACACTCTCCTTCACAACAGCAATATTTTCCGATGTGCGAACGCTCCTTGGCCGGCCAGAGCCTGGCAGATTTGCCACAGAACCTGTTGCCTCGAATTTACGCACCAGATGACCGATGGTTGTTTCGTTTGGGCGGTTGTTGCGACCGAAAAGTTCATGAAGCTCGCGAAACGTGTTTTTTATTTTTGCACCATTTTTGTAGTGCTCTTGAATAACTTTAATGCGGTCTTCAATCGAATACGACTCCATAGCGATCAATGGTAAACATTCAACTAACAAAATGACATGTCGGTGACAGAAAACAAAGATGGCGTCTATGTCAAATTGACCTTTACTTTCCTGCGTCCCTATTGGACAACCCACTTGAATGACAGCTTACTGGCTTAAAATTTGTAGGTGCGTAGAAACGCTACAGTGATACAGCTATTGGGTGCGTGTGCAGCTTTTTGCAGATCACTAACCTTTACTTAAATATAAAAAGTTCCTGTTTGTACCATTTCGAAGAATAAGCTCTCATTTAGACAGGACATTCGAAAACATCTGCCCATCATATATGGATATGGGCAAAACCTGAACGAAAATAAGAATGGAAAGGGAAATATAACTAAAAGCCACCAACAAGAGCCAGCAGGCACATGCCTAGAAGACCTACACTCATAGACTTGAGGTCTACCGCGGCAGCTAGGCTAGACGTTGGTTGATACATCGTAAACACGTCTTTTGTGTTTCCGATGCACATCCATTTGAGCCTTATGAAGCCAATGAGCAGAAACGTACGTTGCTCGGGCTAGCAATCCTTCCATTTCTACTCCTCCTAACCGTAGTTATCTTCTTCAGAATTGTACCTTTAATGTTCAGGTAGGAATTTTTCCTGATAATAGAATAATGATTTTTGAGAGAATGTGACATGACGTAGCGCCGAAGCTGTCTCGTCGCCGTCCGAATGTCGTGCCGTTTGTTGTCGGCTGTCGGCGTCATTACGTAGTAGTCGCATTGCATAACCTTCGCCGTAGTCGAGGCGTTCGAGGGCGTCTGAAAAGCGAAACTGGGACACCAGACGCAAGTCGTACCGGGCGGCGAGACACCTCGGACACGCACGCTCCAAACCAGACGCACCATCTCGGACAGCGACTGCCCAACAGAGATGAATGTGTGATGGTTTTTGAGACTGGACTATTTAAAGATGATAGTGTATTATTTTTTGTCTTATTAGAATGTCGTCTTCGTGGTGTCGGTTCGCGATCGCCTGTTTAAACCCTTACCTATTTTCGCTACCAACTGCAGTTTGTCCAATCTCTAATATTCCTCAGACAAGATTTTTTTTTTCGGACTATACCCTTTCTTTCTTCGATTTTAACCATCTTATGTGGAGGGAGTATCTGTCGTCGCAAAGTATGTGTCCCAAATATTATGTCTTTCTCACTTTAATAGGTGTCACTTTATATTAAGCATGCGTCTGTAGGGCCACTTACAACAGCTGAGATCAAACATACCAGTTTTATTACCGTTCGGGGAACATATTCCTCAGCACTGATAAAAGAGTCGAATCCCGAGTCATTCTCGGGAGAAAATATGCGTAAGTATCGCCATCGTCCACTAATCTCATCTCTAAAGGCGAAATTAACTTTGTGATAAAGGATATGAAGAATCCAGGAACATTCTATTTTACCGAAAATGGATACGTCCACAAACTTGTTTGATAAACGTCAACAATTGTTAGAATTTCCACTTCCCAAGAAATTGACCCTTTGATGGAAAGTTCAGACCTGCTACAATTCAATACGCGCGAGCCCTTACAATGTCTTGAATTGCAATGAGAAAATGACGTCACGTAGGTTGATTCTACACGCAATGCCGTCATCAGTTCATAAAGGACTATGTTCAACACAAGTTGGACCATATCGAAATGAGACAGCGTCATAGATCCTATATCCTGAGTAGAGGATAGTTGCTATGTTGTTGTTTCAGAGACCATGACGCCTAGACTATGGTGGTAAGTTGTCAAAACAGCACGAACCTGCTGTCTGTGTCTGGCTGTCTGGCTAGACGGGGAAAAGCAGCATGTTTAAGTTAGACCCTCTAAGAAAAATGCTAGTTATGAACATGTAAAACAGAGAAATTAAATGAGTCAGGTTCGTCAAACAGGTCCGTACAATTAGTCCATAGCATTCTTTCCCTGCCCTATCTGTAGTCCCGTCCATCTGGCAACGTCGCATCGCCCAATATCTAAGTGCACGATGCGTCAACTTGTATGTTTTGTGCGTCAGATGTGTCAGAACACACACACATACAATCACAGGCACGCGGGCGTTAAATTGATTGACGCAGGGATGCTTGTCGAAAAAATTTTACCATCATTGTTTTAAGGGCAAATGTACGGGAAAATCCACGATTTGTGAAATGTGTATAATAGATGCGTCGAGTTACCGGGGCTGGAAGTGTATTCACTAACAACAAAAAATTGCGAACCGAGCTTTGAGCAAATTTAGTTTTTCTCGTTTTTGGCCTTTTCCTCCGGCGCCACTGAACTGATTGTCAAAAACTACAAAGCGTTTTCGTCCTTGGCCAGATGGACCAACGATTGGCGAACAGGAAGACAGACCGAAAACATACCGACAGACAGACCGACCGACAGACAAACAGACCGACACACAGACAGACAGTGAGACAGACGGAATTGACTGGCATGGTTTTTCGTTATTGTACATGTGATATAAGATCCAAAAATATAACTCATTTTAAATTTTGTTCTCGATTACAATTTTTCTCGCCATTTGGTGTGAGAGTAAAAAGGTCTTACTATGCATTACACAACATTGTACTATAAAATAGCCCATTTTGAAAGAACATCCCTTATCGCGCGATTTATGGACTACGTCGCGCGATAATAGTCAGGAGTTATAACTTTTACGTTAAGATACAGTAACAATGAAGTTGTGACACTGTCTATGAGTAGTTTGCCAAACACGGTACTACAGATCCCTATGTCAATAGCAGAATAATTCCTGTTTCGCGGCATATTGAATTGAAACTCACAGGTGGCAGCAAGGGCGTACCCAGCGGGTGCAAGGGGGCCCCCCTTTTAGGGAAGTTAGCCGAGCTAGGGAGCTGGACAAAAATTAAATGGAAAGAACATTTCTTACAAAGCTTCTCCATAAGCTGAATCAATATCTAGTATATGAGAAACTGCAAGGAATAGTTGGAACCTATGTTAGATATAAACTTAAGAGCACTATATATGCTACGTATGTTTCAAATTCGAACCTCGCCTTTGGGATCTCGGAAACGGTAAAGCTAATCGATCAGTATTAACTAAGGTCCGTACCATCAGTGGATTTCTACGTAACATAATGTATCAATTACTGACATCCGGGCTACACGGTTACGCTATATGGAGTGGTATATTCCAAGTAGGAAGGGTATAGTCCACAATTGTTGTATTGTTGATTATGTTTTATTGTAATGGAGATATTGCTGATAGTAAAAACTCACCCATGTCTAGCTTGTTGCAGCAGTTACGTCGCTGGATAGCTTGAGTAATTTTTAAGATTTTTTTTATGTTAATCACTGCAAAGATTTTAACTTTTGGCTACTGTTTCATATTTACGGGATTTCGCAATATTTAAATCCTTCAAATAAACTCTTGACTACATCTTGAAATATATCAACAAATTTTGACTTCTTTCTGAATTCTGACTTCTCTAAGGAAATTTTTATTGCGTTCAAAAAAAACGAAAAAAAAGATAAAGTCAAGTTTGAGGGCGTTATAGATTTTTTGGTCACAACACTGGTTAGACAGGCCTCTCAAAATTTCGTCAGAATCCAGTGATACTTTCCAAGTTATAAAAGGACCAATCATAATTTTTTTTGACGAATACCCTATCGCAACAAAAACTATACATCTTTTTCTGACTGTAATAGAGGGCAAAGGATTACCTGATGAAGACCATAAAAAATGTATCTAACCTACGTTCTAAAAGTTTTGGCACAAAATATTTATCGGATTTTTTTTTTAGTGAAGAAATTTATTCAAACGCTAACTAGTTATCATAAATTACAATTCAATTCTTAATCAAACTATACTATCGAATTATGTGGGGTGGCCCATTCTGCTCTACCAGACGTAACTTCGAATGTCTCATGAGGTCTGGACGGAACTCAGATCAATTTCTCTCAGTTTTTTGTAAATTCGCCGTCTTAATTGTGGGCTTCCCAGCTTCCATGATAAACCTTCCTAGACAGTAAAGCCCAAAAATCCTCTATTGGGCGAGCCTCCGGCAAGTTTGGAGGATTATCGTTTTTGGGAACAAAAGGTACGTTATATGGTATTGCCGAAGCCAGTTGTGGGTCTCTTGAGTAAAGGCATGATGCTGGATCTGGCCAAAACATGACATATTCATTAGCATGATGTACGTGGACAAACTGAAGCAATTTGGAAAGGCAGTTATCAATATAGCTCTGAATTTTCAAAGCTTCACCCTTCACTCTTCCCACAAAAAGATACACCCCCGTTAGAAATTGCACATCAGACAAGGATTCTATCAGCAAATTTCGCTTTATGTTTGTATCTAACATTGTCAGGGCATTCCTCTACGTTGTCCATATAAAATCCGTCCTTTTCGTTCATTTCAGAATTACTCAAAGTGAAATACTTTTCATCATCTAAAATAATGATTTTTCCATTAGCAAAGTGTACCCGCCTCAATTGACGACAGCATTTTGGTATATGAAGGAGTTGCGCTTAAGAGTATTTGCGACACTTCGGTCTTTTTCGATGTTTAAGACGATTCCTCCTCAATTCCAATGATATCGTACTCTTAGAAGATCTGTATTGACAAGCCAGTCTCCTTGTTGACATTCCAACCTGACTTTTTGCTCTTCTCGCCAATCTCTCTGACCTCTGTGCAGTAAATGCACGTGCTCTTCCACTTTTTGGGAGATTCAGACATGGTATTCCCTGCTCGCACTACAAGACTTCGCCTTAATGCCTGCTTATGGCGAGACGCCTACTAAGATTTCCTGTATCCATGTGCTACCTAGATCTGAAAGGCATTCTTTTTAATTCTTGTGTCGCGCTGTATATTTTAATATTTTAATGCAGCTTCATCAAACCCATTGCAACCTTTACCTTGAACATATAATTTTTCCATCTGTTTCGCCAGCCGATGAACCCACACTATGGCGCAGCCTACAAACAAACCGTTTTAATTTCCTATAGGCGTCAGCCGATTATTTGAATGTAAAAGTTAAGTGTACTCGGAAAATATACAACAATAACCTAGCTTTTTATTCTACTATATCATTAGTATATCTCTGTAGAATTTAGATGTATCTCAAAATGAAATACTTGCAGGATTTGTAAGAGCTACGTCTAAAAGTAAAAGGTGACAGAAGTCAGAACCCTTCAGTCAAGATATCTACTTAGGCCAATATAAGTGAACATGTCTTTTCTCTGCTCCCTGCATCGTTTCCAACTCTAGACCCTCAACCGGACAAAAAAAAGTACTTTCATCCTTCCCATAAGTATAACTTTACGTTAATCTTATCGACGGAAAAGAATAGGTTTTTTTTCTGAACTACTTGCCATCATAATAGTAAAAAACGCTTTAAATTGCAAACTTACAATATCTCTCGTGAGAAAGAAAATAAGAAATAATTCAAACGTTAACCCAAATTAGTTTTGTCAGTTCTCGAACGTAATCTGAACACACTGAACCGGACAAAAGAAGGTACTTTATCCTTCCCATAAGTATAACTTTGCGTCAATCTTTTTTCGTTTTCCAAGCCAGTCAGGCACGATCCATTCTTGGATGTAGTACTGCAGAAAATGAGAGAAAAAGGGAGGGAGGGAGAGGTTTCGTCCAAAATTTTGCATAGGTAAAGATACCAATGGAAATTAATAGGTTTTTTCTGAACTACTTGCCATCATAATAGTAAAAAACGTTTTAAATTGCAAACTTACTTACAATATGAGAAAGTAAATAAGAAATAATCAAACGTTAACACAAATTAGTTTTTCCAGTTCTTGGACGTAATTGAGCCTAATGAAAAACCTTGGGATGGTTCTTTGGGAGAAAGAAATACATTCACTTTCCAAAACGTGTGATAATTTCCAGAATCCAATTTTTAGAGCTCTTTAATCTGTATTTTTTCAGTTATACAATCAGCCGCTTTTTGGTATACACAAAGCAATTACACTTACTGCAGTTTTCCAAGAAACAAAAAGCTGTTACATGTCTTAATACCAATCTCAAAAGCAACATGCAGCTGTGGCCGACCGTTTCCGGTAACTACTAATCCCTAGTACCGTTAAACGAAGATAATTTTACGTTTCGAAACTGGAGCAGAAACTACGGTGCGACTCGCCCGGCACCGCCTTGAAAATCCGCAAATGCTCAAGCGCTATTCTTAGATAACACCTCATAACATAATTGACACATCCAGATCACACGCTGCTGCTACTTTTCCTCTCTTTCAGAACCATAGGGAGGCCAACCCTACCTGTTTCACCGAATGTGGACATAACGATCAGTTAACCTCAAGTTACCGTCTCGAGTACATCGAAAATAAAACACGTTCACTCTCGATTTCATCTGCATATACCGGGTGTCCGAGAAATAATGATACAATGAGACAGTGCGTAATAGTTTTCCTGGCCCTAGCGGTCTTCGTTTCGGCCAAACAATGTCCTACCAACAAAAAGTCGTACTCCAAATTGTTTTGCTACTATAGTAAAGTTGAGAAAATAGATTGTAGATGCTCCCATGTGGTGTTACCGGCTAACTTGGACAGCGAGTTGGTTGCTAAGGCCAGGGAACAGGCAAAAGGGGCCAAGTTGTTGGTCACCGTCCATGAGTTCAACCAGGTATAGTATATTTTTATTAGGAATTACAATGTCTATCTTGATTTTATTGAACACTTTATACAAGATCGTTATAATGAGCCAACATGTTTCCTTAACAGGCAGATCAGCTGAAATTATCTTGAAACAGTGTTGTAAAAACATAGAATGTGAATTTTATCTTGCTGACTAGACCGGTTCAAAAAATGTGGCATAAAATAGATGATAAAATGACACGAAAAGTTCATATAAGCTTCCTAAAATGCCATCTCACAACTTCAAATCAAAAATTAAATATACTTGGAGTGGATTGAGATGCTAACTTGACATTTTGTATATTTAATACTAAGAACTATATACTATATATAAATATGTTCGTACCTAAGTGTAGTGGCGTAGAAGATGGGAAGTTTTGACCCCTACAGAAGAAAACATTCTTTCTACTCCACTGACTTCTTAAAACATCTATTGCATTACTGAGCAAGGTATTGAATCGTACATGAATCGAATCTCATGACAAATTTTTGATAGACTGCTTCTTTTGGAGAAAAATTGGTTTGAATATTTGAGGTAAAATCCGAATAAAAAACTTCAACCCGTTCAACTTTCAAAATACGCTGGGATTACAGTTGAAAAACGTATGTAGTGTCAGGAGTAATCTCAACTCACCACAGCATCATCTGATCAATACACGTTTTGTCCCTATCCAGTCTCATCAGTTTCTGCTCTAGAAATATTACTCCTTTTGAAATAACTTGTATCACATTGTAACTTTGCAGTATGTATGTTGTTGTGTACACCAAAATTTTGACCGAAAGCCACAAAGGTTGAAATTTATTAAGGGTTCTTAAACTCAGTATTTCGTAACAATGTTAAAAAACATCATTAGTGTTTTTTGAAGAATTCCCAAACATCACAAAACCCACGTTATGTAGGTATATAAAACCTAACAAAAAAAAATATTTTTTTGAGAATGTTTCAATTATTAAAAATTAAGAAAATCATATTTTATAAAAAAGACAAATATATCAGAACATTTCGATGCATATAAAAATATTATATAAAATTGATTTTGAAATCATTTCGTTGATACATCTTCAATGAAGCTTATGCCGAGATCCAAAAATCCAACTTAAAGAATTGCGCCTTAATACCAATGTGGTATCCAGAAGCGAAAACAACTCACATTAGCTAATAACCCTTTTAAAATATTTGGCATGGTGGTCGTGTCCCACTTACTTACATCAAAGCCGTTTTTACACCATAAAAAATTAGATATATGTTATTTTCGCGACATTTCATAAAAAAAAAACATGAAACAATGAATCGTGAGCAAATTAACCGGGTCCCAAAACATAATATTTGTGGGAATAGCACAGAAACTAATAAAAAAATATATTTTGAGAAATGTTTCTTTCATTAAAACAAAGTTTTTTCGTCACATAGTAAGCAGTAACGTGAACTACTTCCAGTTATCCACTTGCCAGTTTTTGCCTCGCATTCGGACACCTTGTATAAACATGCAGACACGCTCTGTAAAAATGCTATAAAATTCAGACTAAATAATGATTTCTATAACATTCAAAATCCTCTGGTTAATCAATCAGTATAAAGGTTACGGTCCTAATCAAGCATTGAAGTCTTCTTAGATATAGCCTGTGGTTAGTGAGATTAATACACAATTATCATTAATATATTTAAACAATCTGAAAAATAAATGAATATTTGGATTTCTGTGTATAATTATTAGCTTCAATATTATCACGGAATACTTAGCAGCTTGCTAATATTTGCCAAAAAATTTTAAATAAACAATTCATGTTTTTACTGTAAAAGTACCACAGCTCATATTTGATATAACGACGAAACCATATTTAGTAAATGTACGAAAAGAAATTTAATTTTGATGGTATAAATGGTAGCACTACATTAACTCACCGCCATATTTAATAGCATTTACCAGGAAATATAATTCATTCTTTATTTTGGTGGACGAGTGATCTCGCGTGCTTGAACGTTTTCTCATCACCTTCGTCATTGTGTGAAACTCATAATATACATAAATATAATCATGCTTTGCACACGCACGTACATTTTTATTTAAACACCGTGGGTAGTCGCACAATGATAAGTTTATTTATATGGAGCTCTATATTATCAATGACACAAAAATAATATAGCTGCTGCCTTTAGCATTAGATAATTACATTTATTAATTAGTGTTATAGGTGATTCATATCTGCAATTATAATCATTTTTCACGTTGACGTTATCTGTTTGAAGTCATATCTTCATGTTTATGTGTTTTGTGATGCAAAAAATAAATTAGATTTTTAAATGAATCTTCTTTTGTGTACGTATGTTTCATATATTCAACTTCAACTCTACGTAAGCTTTAAGATCTGAGATGTCAACATTTCTCTAACAAAATCAACAGAGGTTTGTCAATTTTTATTTTATTATAGATTAACACGAAATTCTCTGAACTAAGTAATATATTTCTGTGAAGGTTCTGTATTTTTTTTATCTTGGCCTGTTGACTACTATTGGAGTTTATTCTGCCTCTACCCTATAGGTATGTACCTGTGCCGAGGATCCCGGCTTCAATCAACTACAATTTTAACAATTTTATTTAGGGACATACTGACACATTAGTCTGACAAAGTAGTGACCCGGATTTCGCGCTGGCTTAAGGGCCCTTGAGCCGTAGGTTTCCAGCTTCATGTGTGTTGATGGGCCACATAGCTTAATGCGGCCCTGATTGGCATTTCAAAACAATGAGAATGAAGAGACTTATAATGTAGTCAATCACATTAGCAAATTGTTGCGAACTAATTGTAATGATAGATTTGATTAATAGATGTGTTTTAAGAGAGTTCAAGTATAGGTACATAAAATGGGCAGCTGACCTTTTGTACCAGTTTTTTATCTAACAATAGAAAATGTGTTTTCGGCAGCGTAGTACTTTTTGCGTGAATGAAAAAACCCCTCAAAGAGCCTTTCCACTTACTTATATACTAAGTGACATATAAATCCGAACACCCAGTTTAAATGGTTTTATTTTAATAAAAGTTGGTGAATGTATTTCTCTTACTGTGAATAACAAGTGAAAAAATGTTCAGCCTTATCAGTTGGACATTCCGGTTTTTATACTGCTTTTTTTAATTCACTAACGCTCTAAAAATGAATATTTCAGCCGCAGTAAAGAATCAACGTTGGCGGATTTTGGTTCTTGACATCCTTTACGATCGGTTACGATGCCTAGAGTACGGAGACCTGTACGATTTCGTCAACTTAGTGAGTTTGATAGGGGCCGTATAGTGGGACTTCGGGAAGCTGGACTTTCTTTTTCTCCACTACCAGGTCCATGGCAAATGAATGGTTTGCAGAACACGGAAGACCTATTGGCATGCGAAATGTTTACCGACGAATGAGAATTTTTGGCGTGTTTTCATACCGGCCACACTGGGTCCTCCCTTTAACTCGAGAACACCGACGTAATCGCCTTGAGTGGTGCAGACAACGGTCACTCTGGGATCAGGAATGGAACAGTATTGTCTTTAGTGACGAGTCTCGATTTTGTTTAGGCATGCACGATGGTCGTGCCAGGGTTAGAAGGCGACGTGGTGAAAGGAGGAATCCACAGTTTTTTGTTGAAAGACATGTTCATCACACTGTTGGAGTTATGGTTTGGGGTGCTATAGCTTATGGTTCCAGGTCACCCTTAATCTTCTTCAGAGGTGACATGAACGCGCAGCGTTATATCCACGAAGTTCTAGAACCCCATCTTTTACCCTATATTGACACCCTGGCAGATCCAACTTAAGATAATGCCCGACCACATGTTACAAGAGTCACAATAGACTTCTTTCAACATAATGATGTCACTTATCCCCAATTGAGCACGTGTGGGATATGATGGGTAGGAGATTGTTCAATTTGCAATGTCCTCCTCAGACTCTAGAAGCACTTCGAGAGGAGTTGGTGGTTGCCTGGAATGAGATACCACAGGAGGACATTGACCACCTGATCAGAAGCATGCCTAGGCGCGTTGGAGAATGCGTAGCACATCAGGGTGCATCCACACATTATTAAAGGTCAAAGGGCTTTAAAGCAGTGCAATCATTTTGAAATTTTTATCACTTACTTATTATGCTTCATTAAGTACTTATACAAAATTTTATTAAAATAAAACTATTTAAACTGGGTGTTCGGATTTATATGTCACTTAGTATACTATAATCGTTGTGTTCGTCACAATAACAGCGCTATTTCAAGGAACACTAATATTAACTTTAATACGTTTATATGTACATCTTAAGACTGTTTACCGCAATACATTTTGAACAAGTCAAACTAACTTCAAACAGACTACGTACCAAGCCGAATTGTCTAGAAACTCACTGTCACACATTCTCGTCGGTCTGTC